TTATTATTATTATTAATTATAATTAATTACATGTATTATTTGATTAATATTATTTTATAAAATTTGTATTAACATATATTACATTTTTAATATATTAATATTTTATATTTAACAAATACACACGAACGAATACACAAACACAGACACACACACAAAATCAAACACATGATCAAACACACAAAAACAAACACACAGACATGCACACATAAAGAATACACATGAATGCATGCACACACAAATACACATGCACAGGTACACACAAAAACACTCGCACACATACATATATTTAAAAAATATTTTTATTAATTATTTATGTTTATATTATCATAATAATATATTATTATTTATATTAATTATAATTATTAAATTTAATGTATTATTTTATTAATATTAGTTTATTCAATTTGTATTAACATGTTTCATTTTAATATATATATACATTTTATATTTATACATACAATTTTATATATATATTTTTTGTTTGTTTCAATAATTATGATAATAATTAACAATGATTAATAATCATATACTTAATAATGATAAATATAAATCAAGTCATTTTATTAGTATATACTTTTTATAAATGTATTTATACATTTATAACTACATAAAATATTACATTAGTTACAACAAATAATATAAATAATATAAATAAATAAAAATTTTAAGACTAAATGTTATAACCTTCAAATTTAATACAATTTTATAGCTAACAACAGCTAATAATACTGATTAAAGATGGTAAATATAAATCAAATGTTATAATTTATTAAACTATTAACATATACACCACATACTGAATGTAAATATCAACATGGTTCGTATTTAGTTTAATGTTCCTATTAAAGTGAATGGTGAATTCATGTGCACAGCTATCTAACATGAGGCAAGAGTGTTGCTATGTGGTTGGTAGGTTGTTGATTATTGGTTCAAATCAAGTTGCTTCATAGAATGGATTGCATGTTGTGTTAAAAAGTGACTCTACATCTACTGCTTGAAGTTATAAGAAAACAACTTCATTTTTTTTAAACAGTAATGTCAGTGCATGCTGGTTAACCTTTGATTTGAAACAAAATAGACACTCACAGTCAGGAAAGTGTGAAGATTCGTGACTCTGCTCGGATGCCATCTGAGCCTGCTTGCCAAAGACCTGGGCGTCAAAACTGGCGTAGTCGAAGTGGCCTTTATTGAACTTGTCTATGTCTTTGGCCATGCTGGCCTGCAGCGCTGCCATAGGATGTGCAAATCTGTATGTGAAGTCAAATTTCTTCATGTTTCCTAAAGGTCTAAATGAAAAAAGGAGCTCTGTTAATCTTAGATGTCTTAAATATTACAAAGCATCATACAGACTTTTTAAGATGAGACACTATGGGCAAAAAAAAAAAAAAATTCCATGTCAGTTTTGAGATTTTGGCCTTTTTGCCTCTTCATGAAGTGTTTATTTGTTTAGTCTACAGTTTAACAATTTACAGTGGGGATGCATCAGTGTACTGGTCACCGATATTTATCAACCAATACTGAATTCATTTAAAGCTATCTGTATATTGGCAATAATATGATGCACAGAAGTATCAGCCACCGATATTTATCACCCGATATTGGAATATTTTGAAGATATCGTTATATTGCCAATAATTAAATGCACCAATGTATCAGCTGCGGATATTTATCAACTGATTTTAAATTAATTGAAAGATTTCGGTGTATCTACAATAATATAATGCACTCATATATCAGCCACCGATATTTATCGGCTAATGTGGAATAAATTTAAAGATATCGGTATATTTTCAATATTATAATGCACCTACGTATCAGCCACCAATATTTATAAATTGATTTTGAATTAATTTAAAGATATCAGTATATCTACAATAATACAATACATTGATATATCAGCCACCGATATTTATCGACTGATTAGGAATTAATTTTACAATATAGGAATATCTACAATAATATAATGCACCTATGTGTCAGCCACTGATATTTATCAGCTGTTATTGGATTAATTTAACACTATTGATATATCTACAATAATATAATGCACCAATGTATCGGTCATTGATATTTATTGACAAATATTGGTTTTATATAATGGTATCGGTATATTCACAATAATATGATGCACCAATGTATCTGCCACTGATATTTATCAACCAATACTGAATTCATTTAAAGCTATCTGTATATTGGCAATAATATGATGCACAGAAGTATCAGCCACCCATATTTATCAACCGATATTGGATTATTTTGAAGATATCGTTATATTGCCAATAATTAAATGCACCGATGTATTAGCTGCGGATATTTATCAACTGATTTTAAATTAATTGAAAGATTTCGGTATATCTACAATAATATAATGCACTCATATATCAGCCACCGATATTTATCGGCTAATGTGGAATTAATTTAAAGATATCGGTATATTTTCAATATTATAATGCACCTACGTATCAGCCACTAATATTTATAAATTGATTTTGAATTAATTTAAAGATATCAGTATATCTACAATAATACAATACATTGATATATCAGCCACCGATATTTATCGACTGATTAGGAATTAATTTTAAAATATAGATATATCTACAATAATATAATGCTCCCATGTGTCAGCCACTGATATTTATCAGCTGTTATTGGATTGATTTAACACTATTGATATATCTACAATAATATAATGCACCAATGTATCGGTCATTGATATTTATTGACAAATATTGAATTTATATAATGGTATCGGTATATTCACAATAATATGATGCACCAATGTATCTGCCACTGATATTTATCAACCGATATTGGATAAATTTGACAACTATCAGTATAACGGCATAAATGTGACTACTAGGCCAATACTGATGTTTTCTTAATTAGGAGGCAACAAGTTGCACGTTTCTTGAATTATCCAACATTTTTCTCAAAATGAGATTGTAGAATACTTGCAAAAAAACTAAATATACGATTTTGTACAGTTTATATGTACAAAATGTGCTGGCACAATACCATTGGTTTGAATGGGATACAACGTCTTGGTCAATTAAAGGGACTGACTGCACTTTGGTGAGTCAACATATTTCAGGAGCAGCAAAATGTATATTTTACATATAGCAACAATTAAATAAGACGGAGAAAAAAATCAATGTTTAGTAAAATGAAATAAGATGGAGAAATGGAAAAAAATAACTACTACTGTATAATACTGTATGCAATACTGAATGCAATCGAGCAATATTATCCCTAGTTTACAGTATTTTCTGAATTATGGCGTAAAAAAGAGATTTCCAAACATTTGACTGTAATGAGCATTTAAGCAACTTCATCCAATGTTTTTAAATAATCTTTTTATTGTTTTTAGCATAAGAAATAATCAATAACATAAACAGAACAAAAAACAACATAAATAAATATTTATAAAATAAGGGGTGGGGGGGCCATTTGATTTTGTGTGTGACAAAGGCCATTTCAAAATACACAAATAGTCAGACACAACATAATACAACATCATCCAGAAAGCATAAGGAAATAAATAGAATTAAATATGAAACAAAATAATTTACAGAGAAATGCATAGGCTCCACAATTCGACTTACTCCAGACCAATCTCACTTATAAAGAGTTACAAGTTAGCATAGCATTACTGATATAGAACACACTTGGGCTCCAGATTTTTAAAAATGTGTTTAGTTTGTTTGTCATCCCATATCGCATTTCCTCCACGGGCAACACGTAACTTAAGCTCCTAACCCAAATTTCGAAGACAGGCACATAATCTGACTTCCAATTTTGTAAAATTATTTTCTTTGCTAATATCATACACAAAGATACTGCCTGTGATATATATTTATCTCCTATTTCTGAGGTGTCTCCGAAAATGGCCAATCTTATCCCGTATACTTCAGATATAAACTTAAAAATCCTCTGCCAAAATGAACTAATTTTATGGCATGACCAGAATGAGTGAGCCAGTGTACCTTCAGAGTTTTTACATTTGTTGCACAATGAGGAAGAATTTGGAAAAATCTTATTTAATTTCACTTTAGAATAATGCAGTCTGTGGACAACTTTAAATTGAATCAGTCTGTGTCTCGTGTTGATAGAGCAATCATGAATTTTGGAAAGATAATCTTCCCATGAATCATCTGATATTACTGTATTTAGCTCATTTTCCCACTCTTTCCTAATTTTGTCAGTGTTTGAATTAACCTCATCCAATAATAAGTTATAGAAAAAAGAGACTGTACCTTTTTCTATTGGGCTGTGTTTTGTTATATTCTCAAGTGTCTGGTGTATGGATATATTTTCAAAACCAGGAACATTTTTCCTAGAAAAATCCCTTATTTGAAAACATCTGTACTTCATCCAATTTTTACCCAATTTCTGTACAAGAAATGCATGCAAATTAGCATAGATTTACTTAAATAATGCCTCATTTCCAAATTTAAACATAACAGTTTTGAAAAGTTCTTTGTAAATCTCTAACATGTTTGCAGTTCCTGATTGAATCAATCAACTAGAGAAATATACTTTAGCTCTTAAAAAATCCCAATTATTTTCTCAGAAAAATTTGAGGGTCTTTTCAGAAAGATGATTGATGGACATAATCGCTTGACCTCAATTAGACGGGTTCATTACCTGGTCATTCTCTCTGCCGTCGGTCTGCATTTTACAGGATCCTCCTGAGGTTTGGAGATCTTTTCAGCGGCTGCGATCGGACAACCCGAGAGACTATAAGAACACAGACATCACAAGAATGAAGTTAGACTCCATCGGGTTGTTAACTTTATTTTAATTGAATCTGGGTTCGTTCAGGAGTAATTGTACAATTAAAAAGAATCCAATAGTTTCTATGCAATAAACATCACATTGTTTTATAGTCTAGTTAAGTGTTGAAACTTTCCTTTTTAGCAAAGATCCGAGTTTTAATTGCAAGAGCATCTCTTTTTTGGGGGGATAAATTAACATATGTGACACTTTAAGGTGGTTTCAATCTGAGCATCTGTCCAAAATAAAGGTGTTTACACAGCAAGAAAGATAACTATATTGATAACTAGTGTCCACATTAAAGCATTATAATCTTCTGGTTATTATAAGTGCATGCATTGAGATGGTCCACTGGTAATAAAATAGTATAAAATTGTAATCCAATCTTCACCTGAATACACATAAGAACACAGATGGACAAATTGCTTAGAAACTGGGATGTTTGCTTGTAAATGAATGTAGTTTATACAGTATCATTAGAATATAAGCAGTCTGCTTTCCTTGTCCCTACCTATAAACTGACATAAAATGTTCTTAAATAAAGTAATCATACTAAAATATGAACCTAATTGTCTATTATGTATAACATGATGTCTTTTATTTTATTGTACAATACCATGTCATCATATGTCATTACCACTTATTGATAATGTTAATGACCTCTAAAAATAATAATAATAATAAAAATGGAATATAAATCTGTAAATGAATAACACAATCAACTAAAAAAGAGCTAAAATATTAGTAAATTAATAGCAAGTATTAGTATTAATAGCAAATTAATTAAAAAAGAAAAGAAAAAAAGCTTTTTGGTAATGACACAAAAAAAAGATCTCATATAAAAAAAATACACAAACATCTCAAAATTATTATCAATGGTAAACAAAATAATATTTAAAAAAAATAAATAACGTCATACCTAAATATGAACTAAATCTCTAAAAATATATGTTTTTTTAAATGTAAAAATAATTAAAATATATTATCACCAATATTTTTTTTAATTTAATTTTAATGGCACTTAATCAAATAACTTAATTCCATCTTATAAGATGAAATAAAAATGTAATAAAAATATAATCTTAATTATTCCAAACAAATTTCATTTTTGTAATAAGTAAATAAATAAATTAAATAAATAAATAAAATAAATATATACATATTTTAAAATATAAAGCACAAATATATAATATATTTTAAAATATAAAGCACAAATATAAAATATAAAGCACAAATATATATCAAATGACCAGATATAAAACATTTGTTAATAACAATAACAAATACAATCTTATATAAGACTGACATAAACATCTCAAAATTTGAATCAAGGGTAAAAATAATAATTAAACAATTAATAACACCAGACCCCAAAAAATGTAATGCTAAATTAATTTTAATACATACTATCACTAATACTTATTGTTTATTTACTTCCATTTTAATGATGCTTGATCAAACAACTTGTGACGTTTGGTAATGACATTTTTGTAAAAAAAAAAAAAAAAAAAAAAAAAAAGAACACTTCGGTAATAAAAACAACAACAACAAATAAAGTCTGACTTAAACATTAATTAAACAAAATTATAATCAAGGGTAAAAATAATATTTTAAGAATTAATAATACCATACCCTGCCAATCGAAATACAAAATTAATTTTAAATTATATTATCACCAATAATTGTTTATTTAATTTCATTTTAATGACGCTAGATCAAATAACTTAGGTAATGACATCTAACAAGATAATGTAAAAATTGGATAAAAATATCTAAATTAATAACACAACCATATATTTTTGTAATAAATAAATAAATTGTACAAAAATATATTAAATGAATTGAAAATTCAACAATAAAATTCCCTGAAAAATCCAACTGGTTTGACAATGACACATAACAAAGACAATATGAAAAACAGAAAACGATTAGTGTGCAATTGGCAGATTAATCAGGCTGTTTTCCTCGTCCTCACCTTCTATGCGTGCTACGGTTACTATTAACATGACCTCTTCCTGTACATCCAGGCGTCGGACATTTGAGGACGTTTTCATGCATGGCCAGAACTAAAAGAAACAACACAACAATATAACAGTGAAGCTTCACAGAGAAAACGAGACATTTCCTTAAAGAAAGTTTGCTGAAGCTGGTTTGAAAAGCTTCCCCTTTTCAGTCTGAACCATATTTGTCTCTGTCAAATATGAACATGCATAAACATCACGACTATTTTGATGACCATTTAAGAGGCAGACGCACATTGTTGAAGTCCTATCCCTTAAGTTTTCGTAATTAGTTTGGAGGATGTGCTCGTCTATTTAGGCTCCATCCGCGGCTCCTTTGATTCGCAGAAATGCTGCTTGTGGTTTAGGAGTACATGCTTTCATATTGGAGGGAAAAAAAGGGGGGAAAAACTTAATTACATTTTCTGTTCCTTTTGTCACATCACTGTTTAATGGCCAATGTTTGTTGTGCTACTCTCAAATGGAGAAAACAGCAAGTCAAAAGTTGCTTCCAGAATACAGTTTTTAATTTGCATACCACTGGAAAATATATAAATAAATCAATCCTCTGTTGTGGTGACGACTGAAAATTTCTTTAAGGAAAAAAACTTTGGAGCTTGGTGCAGCATTATGTGGATGGGTAAAACATGAAATGCAAATTGTATTTTCTTTTTTCATGGCATATTCATGCCATGATTATAAAGGTTCCATGACAGTCTTATGATTTATTAAATCCACCAGAAACCGCTGTCGACTGACTGACTGACTGACCCACCCTCCTCCTTTCCTAAACCCAACCAATAGTGTTTTAAAAGCACCAATTTACCTGCCCACCCACTTCCCTAAACCCAGCCAATAGTGTTTTAAAAAAGCACCAATTGACCCGCCCACCCACTTCCCTAAACCCAACCAATAGTGTTTTAAAAGCACCAATTGACCCGCCCACCCACTTCCCTAAACCCAACCAATAGTGTTTAAAAAGCACCAATGACCCGCCCACCCACTTCCCTAAACCCAACCAATGGTGTTTTCAAAAGCACCAATTGACCCGCCCGCCCATTACCCTAAACCCAACCGATAGTGTTTTAAAAGCACCAATTGACCCGCCCACCCACTTCCCTAAACCCAACCAATACTGTTTTTAAAAGCACCAATTGACCCGCCCACCCACTTCCTAAACCCAACCAATAGTGTTTTAAAAGCACCAATTGACCCGCCCACCCACTACCCTAAACCCAACCAATACTGTTCTTAAAAGCACCAATTGACCCGCCCACCCACTTCCCTAAACCCAACCAATAGTGTTTTAAAAGCACCAATTGACCCGCCCGCCCATTTCCCTAAACCCAACCGATAGTGTTTTCAAAAACAATTCAGACAAAAAAGTCCTCACCTGATTTTTACCATGTTTTCAGCATTTACCACATTCTCATTCTGTTATTTACTTGTTTATTATTTATTTTTGGCTTCTGTTTTTGTTTTACCCGCTTTCTGAAACCAGACCCCGTCGTTGCGGTCAACTCCTCTTCAAGTCTCAAATCCGTGAACATACATGCCGAGCTACTGGACAAGCTGGTAACAGCGCGAAAGACGTCTACACGAGGTAAGCACGAAAAAGAAGACGTCATACCCTGTAGCATTCGTTTTAAAGACAAAATGCAGCCATTCGTGCTTCTGGCTACATAATATGCGATCTCCAGAAATGTATATAGGGCTACGTTTTCAGAATGAGCCTATGTTGTATAAATTACCCAATCAACAACGCAATTAATTACAAAAAATTTGCAACAATAAATGGGATTTTTAATTTAAATCTCAAACCATTGGAATTAAAATGTAAAAAAAATAAAAGTTTAAAATGCCGATATAAATACCAATTTCACTTAAAATATAATTTATTTCAAATTTAATTTAATTAAATTTATTTGTTATTTTAAAGGTTTATTTTAAAATTACTTCGAAAAATGTAACTAAACTACAATTTAAAAAATACAAACTGTAACAAAATAGCTATTAAATAATTCCCCCGTCTGCACAAATGTGAATATAGCAGTGCGTGGTTAGTTAAGCAGTCACCGTGTAATCTTTTATCCCCACTATCTGTACAACTAAACCTTGATCATTAGCACGCCATGAATATTTATGGGCTGAAAATGATCACAGTGTTGTTATGGCTAATTGTATTTGTTCTGTTTGCATTGCGCCGCTGTGAAGGGAGGAAATGTGTGTAATGTCCTCAGGAAGCGATGCGTAACAGGAGCACAGACTCACTCTCTGGGGGCACACGGACTTTGTGAGGACATCCAGACAGACTCCGGTGATGAGGATAGAGGCCTGTCACGTGACCCGTCCCGTCGCAGCCTGGGGTCGGACATTTGATGTCTTTCTTCTCTGTGCGGGGAGAGTCTAGAACACACGCACACACAAACAGTAAAATTACTGATACCCTCATCTATTATTACTCCAGTAATCGCATCCTCCTTTATTCTTTCATCATATAATCCTTTCGTGAGATTTATGGGAGCAACTTATGTTAAACTGTAAATAAATCAGTGAAGCTTTTTGGAGGAGTTATCCTCTCACAGGTCATCCATCCTTTGTAAACAAATGACTTTTAGAGACTATGAATAGACCAAAAACTCTAATTGAGTCTTTAATATTATTGATGTATATTAATTATTGCTCAACTTTTGGGAATACAAAGAGAAAATGTTGGATTCAGATATGCTTCAGATAGTACGGTCCCACTTTAAGTATAAATATAAATAAAAAATATAAATACAACATACGTACTGTGTTCATTATGTGTTGCAGAAGATTTCTGAAGCTATTAAGGTGGCATATGAGTATGGTTGGGAAAGGTTTGGTGGTATGGGTAGGTTTAAGGTGGGTTAAGGTCTAAGGGATGGTCAAAAGTGCAATTATAAATGTAATTACAGAAATTAATTACAGATGTAATTACATGCAGGTATTTAGTGAAGTTTAAGTACAATGTAAAAACATGTATTTACACAACAATCACATTGTAACGATTTATTCATTTCAGTGTACATATTAGTTAAGGCCACTTCCTATAAAGTGGGACCGATTACATTAATTACACTGGGACACTGTCTAAATATAAAGGTGTTTTATAAATAAATGTATTAATAAATAAATTATTATTATTAATAAATTAAATAAATACATAAATGTATTAATAATAATGAAATAATAATAATTATTAATAAAAAATAATAAAAACAATAAGAATTGTTAGTTACTTTATTTGATTATTATTATTAATAGTTATCGAATAAATACAAATAATCACAATAATAAGGATGATAATAATAATTATATAAATTAATAATAATAATTATGATATAAATTATTATTAAAAATAATAATAACAATAATAATTTATTATCATTATTATTAATTTATATCATTATTATTATCATCTTTATTATAAATTTTTTTATGATTATTAATTTATATCATTATTATTATCATAATTATTATTATTATTATTAATATATTATATATTATTATTATTATTATTATTAATTTATATCATTATTATTATCATCATCATTATTATTAATATTAATATTATATTATTATTTTTATTATTAATTTATATCATATACTATTATCATCCTTAGAATATTATTATTATTATTTTGATTATTATTATTATTATTAGTACTATTATTATTATTATTTTTATTATTATTATCATTCTTAAAGGTAAACAGATCTAAATAAAGCACAAATCTACTATGTATATGGACTATTTATGCCACAACCTTATGTAAAATTATTTGTTTGCAAATTATCATTTGATTTAAAAAATATTTAAAAAGAATTGATTTTTAATGTTCTATATTTAATGATTTAAACCAGAAAAAGTACATAATGAAAAAAGTACTGTTTATGTGTTTTTCAAGAAAATGTTCAATATATTTATCAAAGCTTGTTTAATTATCATAACCATACTAATAACTGCTGCTCAATCGAAACATTTTGCGAAATATGTCATAAAGCCTAGTGTTGAACAAAAATTAAATATGTGCTTACTAAAATAAACTTATAGCATAAAAATTGTGCAAAACATGCTAATATTTTAAGAGGATGCAATACAAACTTAAAATATGCAGTATTTTACTAATAAAATGTTATTTTATTAATAAATTTTTTATCCCTTGAGCTACCCTACAATCAGATGGTAATACACAGATATGTACACATTTGATAGCCATTTAACATGCTTAAAAATCTAAAACCTTTACAGTAGAATTACTTCAAACAACTGACAGAATTACATTTACAGGCCACTTTATTAGGTACACCTGTCCAACTGCTTGTTAATATAATTTTTTTAATCAGCCAATCACATGGCAGCAACTCAATTCTTTTAGGCATGTAGACATGGTCAAGACAATCTGCTGCAGTTCAAACCGAGCATCAGAATGGGGAAGAAAGGTGATTTAAGTGACTTTGAACGTGGCATGGTTGTTGGTGTCAGACGGGCTGGTCTGAGTATTTCAGAGTCTGCTGATCTACTGGGATTTTCACACACAACCATCTCTAGGATTTTCGAAGAATGGTCCAAAAAGGGGAAAATATCCAGTGAGCGGCAGTTCTATTGGCTCAAATGCCTTGTTGATGCCAGAGGTCAGAGGAGAATGGCCAGCAGATAGAAAGTCAACAGTAACTCAAATAGCTACTCGTTACAACTGAGGTCTGCAGAAGAGCATCTCTGAACGCACAACACGTCCAACCTTGAGGCAGATGGGCTACTGGACCACACCGTGCCACTGTGTGATGCTATCATGTCAATATGGACCAAAATGTCTGAGGAATATTTACAGCACATTGTTGAACTTTGCCATGAAGGATTAAGGCAGTTCTGAAAGCAAAAAGGGGCCTAACCCAGTACTAGTAAGGTGTACCTAATAAAGTGGCCGGTTTTTAGCATTAGTAACTTTCATTTAACCCCATCAATAGTGGGCACTAAATCTGATGATATAAATGATTCTCCTAATTTTCGTCTCATTTTAAATTATTCGATCAATTCGGTAAATCTGTAATTTTGCTTGGGCCAGATGATTTGAATCAGCGAGTCTTTTGCGAACTAGATTCGTGAATCATTTGATTCAGTGTCAAGACTCACTGTGCAAACAAACAAGAACATGAGTTGTTTAATCCCACCCAGTCATGTTCCTCTCTACGTAAGCTGAGGCGCGACCTGTAAAAGCATGCTGGGAATGTGTGTGTGTGTTCATCTGTGACATTAGTTAAGGCTGTGGTCTGTGGGTTTCTTAGCACTGATCCATAGGGAGATTATCTTCAGAGATTACCCATTAAACAGCAAGATTCAAAGTGCTTAAAGCTCACATCAGAGATACTTTATGAGGATTTATGACTTCATTTATGCTCATGGTAAAATATCTGGCTGATAGCGATAAACCCGGCGCTTCATGATACAGAGATGTCATCAGAAGATTTCGTCTTGTATGTACTTGTGTACTTTTTGTAATAAATCATGTCGGTTGTTTGCTATTGCAGATTTTGTTGCCAAAATGTTTTAGCACTTAAGAGGATTTTATTTATCTATCCCTGTGGGCTTGAATTTCTGTCTCTTTTTTGTAATGTGTTGATGTTGCAACAGGCTAGTTTTAGTGCTAGTTTTAACGGCCTAAAGCACATAGTAAACACACATAAAGAAGCTCACAAGACTTTTTTTTATACAAGTACAGCCATTACTAAAAAAAAATAAATAAATAAATAAAAAGATCTTCTTTAGGTTTAGTTGATTTTTATTAGATTTGGGTTTGAGTTAATGGGCGAGAAGGTCGCTGGTTCGAGTCCCAGTTGGGTCAGTTAGCATTTCTTTGCATGTTCTGCCAGTGTTTGCGTGGGTTTCCTCCGGAAGCTCTGGTTTCCCCCACAGTCCAAAGACATGCGGTACAGGTGAATTGAATAAACTAAATTGGCTGTAGTCTATGTATGTAAACGCAGAGGATGCCCTTCCAGCTGCAACCCAATACTGGGAAACATCCATATACACAATCACATTCACACACATACACTACGGCCAGTTTAGTCTATTCAAATCATCTATACCACATGTCTTTAGACTGTGG